GTTATAATTTTAAGAGAGGTTGATAATATGTTCTTGAATGTCTTTGTGAAGTTGTTTCTTTTCTTGTATTGGGATATATTTTTGTAGAGACATATTGCTAGATTTTTAAAGTGAAGGTCAAGGCCAATGATATGGCCTTTATAATTATGTAAGTGAGCAATATTGTGATGGATGAAGATACTGATGCCTGCTTGGTGTGGTGAAAAGTAAAAGCTCTAGAAGCTGGTATAGTTTGGTATTTGATTGTTAAAAAATTTTCCTTCTTTGATAGAGAGATGTGTTTCAGATAAACCTAGGATTTTAAAGGAGTTGTTATTAAGAATTTCTGAGATTGAAAGTTTTTTGTTAGATTGGGTGAGACTATTGATGTTCAAAAAAGCAATTTTTATAGGAATTGAAGAATATTCTGAAGTAAAAGAAGAAGCTAGTATATAGTGGTTTGAGGATTGATCTAGAGAGAGTTTGCAGGTTTGTAGAGATGGTATGTTTGTAGATATTGGGTAATTAGATTTAAGAGGAGTGTTTTGAAAATTGAGAAGGTTTTTAAAGGGAAGTAAAAGATAGTTAGGCAGGAGGGAGGTTTCATATAGTAAGTATATATATATTTCTTCTGAATTTTGATTGGTTTTTGTTTGAATAGAAATTTTTATAAATTGTTTAGAGAAGAATGCTGGATAGTTTAATTTAATAAATTGTGTAAAAAAAGCAATTGTTTGAGGTGAGGGTAGAAGTTGAAGTTAGTAGAAGGATAGGAATTTGTTAAAGTATATAGAGAAATAATAAAGATCAGGTATAAGATTAAAGTTTGTAAAAGGCTAGTTGGTTAGATTTAAGAGAGTGTTGTTTGTGGTTTATAGAAGGCTAATGATGTTGAAGATAAAGCCACATGAGGAGTATCTTCTATAGCAATTACTGTATGCCCAGCTTGCACAGCTCTGCAAGACTCAGAAGCTCTTAGGTTAAATATTAGAGAACTGTTATTATTTGGATCTTCCAGGTATGAGGGGTGGCTGATACTTTTAACATCCTATCCTCAAATCTTAGACAAATATAGAAGACAAGTATTGTGTTTTTGTTTTTGAAAGTGAGGGTATATAGTTGAAAATTTGTGTTTGTGTGAGTATTTGTTTGTGTGATTGTTTGTATAGTTTTTAGAGCAGTATATATATTGCTATATATAGTAGTTAAAATATTGAGTATCTAGTCCTACTCTAGATACAAGTATTTTTGCTCTTATATAGGAACCATATTTGGGACTTTCCAAGCAGGTTTTCACTATCTAATCATCTCCTAGAATTCTATGATCTGTTAAGCTTATCGTAAGTTTGCACCATATTTAACTGGCTAGTATTCTTTTGTGCTTCCCAATTGGGTTATACAAATATCTCAAATCTTCCAGGACCTGAACTTTCCAATTGGGTTAACCAATCCCTGGTACACCATTGGGCTACAGATAATTTTACCCAATGCAGATGAAGTAACTATAACACAGGATTAAATTCAAAAATTGTTATTTGTAGGATTCGAACTCACAACCTGCTACTTGGAAAGATAACAACTAGACCACTTCACTAAGCCACCACACCCCAAAGCCAAAGTTTTTAATCTCTTGTAGTTTGAAGTTAATCTTCTATTAAAGTTAGACAATTCTTTACTATGTTTTTTAAATTAGATAACTAATTCACTCTATATAATAATATGATTAGTTAAAATAATCTTTTAAAATTAAAGAAGGTTTTACTAAGTAAAGGTTTCTTCTAGCTTTAGAAAAAGTTGTAAAGGAGATTCTTCTAATTCTAATAGTGGTTAAATCATTAAAATTAGCTTGGTGGATTCCAAAAGACTTGGGATTAAAGAAAAAAATAGTAGGATTTACAAATTCACTATTATACAAAGTATTATACTTCCAGATTAAGCTTGTAACTCTTTTTAATAATCACTTGTATCAAATTCACAACAAACTTTTTTTCAAAAAAATTCAATAATTTCAAAGTGAAACAGACTAGAAGAATTTGGAAATTATAAGTTGGCACTTATTATTTAAAGATAGTTCTCATATACTACTTGCTAGTAGGTCTAGAGTTTATCACTTACTGCAAAAATGGCACTTGTTGTTTTGAAATAGTTTTCATATACTACTTGCTAACAAGCTCAGAGTTTATCACTCATCAAAAAGAAAGCTCCAACATACTAACTAGTATCACAGGTCTTATTTTATTTTAGAAAAAAATTAATATACTCTTTAAAGAATAGTACAAGTAATATAATATTTCTTTTTATTTTGTGCTAGTCTTTCCAAAATTTTCTTAAAAAAGTGGGCAAAACAGCTTACTCCTATTAAAAGATCAGCATTGTTTACACCTTTTATTTTAAATAAACTTAGTAAATTGCAACTATGTATTTGATTTGTTGTTTTTGATACAATACTACTTTTATATAACAAGGATCAGATTTTAGGCTAAAGAGATATTCAGAAATAGGTGTACTATTGTTAGTAAGAAAGAATTTTCATTAAAGTTAAACTTTATAATAGAGATATACAATTGTTGTAGTTGTTATATAATTTTTAAACCTTGCATAGATTATAATAATGCATTTGTTTTTTTTTTTATTCTTTTTTTTTCCTAAAAGGTTTTTTTTTTTATTCATTTTTTTTAGTTTTGTTTTAACTTTAGTCAGCTCAGTAGGAGCCTTTCTCTTTGTTTTTCTTTTTTTACATTTTATTATTTCTTCTTTTTTTATCCTCTTTATTTTTTCCTCTTCGTCTTATATGTTTTTTTTTTTAATATAGTTCTTCTCAGTTTTTTTTTCTTTTACATTAAAGTTTTTATGCACTATGCATGAGAATTTTACTTTTTTTTGCTCTTAGTAAAGAAAAGAAAATCTGAAAAGATTGGCTCTTGACAGAGCTGACAAAGTCTTTTATATTTTTTGAAAAATAGTATAACAAGTTGTATTAGTAATTATTTATATAAAGGACCAAATAATGCTGGACTTGCTATATATGGATATTAGAGTAGATTTTTTTTAAATATATTTTTTTTATCTTTTAATAAAAGTACCAACGAGACTATTAAAGAGTTAAAATTAAAAAAAAAAAAAGCATTATACTTTATATAATAGTAAATTTGTAAATCCTTATATTCTTTCTTTAATTCCAAGTATCTTGGGATTCATCAAGCCAATTTTAATGATTTAATTACTATTAGAATTAGAAGAACCTTCTTTACAACTTTTTCTAAAGCTGAAAGAAACTTTTACTTAGTAAAACCTTCTTTAATTTTAAAAGATTATTTTAATTAATCATATTGTTATATAGGGTAAATTAGTTATTTGACTTAAAAAATATAGTAAAGAATTATTCAACTTTAATAGAAAATTAACTTCAAATTACTAGAGAATAAAAACTTTGGCTTTAAACTAAAGATTATTAAATGCCAAAGAATATATATTTCAAATTTAGAGAAAGATTTATATGTATATTTTTATCTTCTAACTACTTTATTTGTAATAGCTTAAATACTTCTACTTACTAGTATATCTACTCTAACAACATCTTTTTAATTTAAACTATCAACTCTTTAATTTATAAAATTATTTCTAATACTAACCTTAACATCTCTTTATACCAACTTAACAACCTAATAAATATGATCTCCTTATATCCTTTTTTTAGTTCTTTACCTTCTACTTTATATTTCTTTTTACTTTACTCTATATCAAAGGTCTTATTTCTAAATCTCTAATCCAATCTTTAAACCTTTTTAAAATTTTCTATTTTTATACCTCCCAACTAATTATACAAATACTTTTTAAAGTTTCTAATCTAAATAGATTTTATACTGTATTAATTTTTTATATTAGAAAAAAGCTTATAAAAATCTCTAATATATTATCTTATTTTTCTTTATTTTGAATTTACAGAAGAAACAGAATATCTACTTATGCTATCTCTGTAGTTTTGCTAACTATTTATATTCTAAATCTAATACTTGTTCTTTTCTAAAACAAGCTTCTCTCAAGCTTAATATTTGGTCTACTATATGGATTAAATATAGTATATCTATTAACTATATTCTGATTATTTAAATGGTAAGTTTTAATCACTCTAGTGCTAACTACTAATGAAATTATTACTAAATTAAATAAATAATTAAAAATTTTAAACAAAAATTATAAAAATAAAACTAAAAAGTAGTTTTTAGATATTACAAAATTAAAAAAAAAGGTTGAAAACTTTAAAAAGGAATATAGAAAATAAAATTAAAAAGCAGTTTTTAAAAAGTAATAAGATTAACAAAAATTTTATAATAATTAAAAAAGAGCTAAAAAATATATATACTAGTAAACTATTTAACATATTAGAGATTAATAAAAAATTATTAAAACTAAAACTTAGTAATAAGCATTTGTTTTAAATATCTTTTTAAGTATTATAAATTATTTAAATTATTTTATTGTAATATATATATATAGGTTTTATTTTTTGGTGCACCTGCACCGTAGTGCACCCTTATCACGTGATCAACGCGATCAACGCATTACGGCACTATTAAATATTACAGTACTGCAGTACATTTTATTAAAAATTTAATAATGCAAAAATTATTAAATTATTTATTTAAATGCTACGGTTCTAGCTACGCCCAAAAATACATTCTCATACACCACTATATTACGGCTTTAACTATTCTATCGGCTACACGCAACTAAATATTCTCTATAAACAACTTCATTATAGACAATACAACTTGTATTGCTTCGCTTACGCTCAGCAACACAAACAGGGCTCGCTTCGCTCACCTTGTAGTCACTTCGCTATGGCTGCCGCCTTCACTTCGCTCCATTTCCTAATCATTCGATAAATCGAAACTACTCTAACCATAACCTGCTCTAAAAAAAAACTTTAATAAAACCTACCCTAACTCTAACCAACACTAACGAAACCACAAAGACTTTCTACAACAACCATAAAAACCACCAATGCAAGGCCAGAAGCGATGAATAAATACCCATCACGACATACAAACACGACGAACAAGATTAAAAACGATGAAATTCAAGATTCCTTCAATAATGAAAACACCAGGTATGGTGACCACCAACGACGATCTTATTTTTGGCTCCAAAACAATGACACTGACGAAGGTATTTCACACACCAATAACGACGACACCAATGATGAAAGTACTTACCACTCCATTAACCACACACCAAAGATCAATGGCAAGAATATTTTCGTAATGACAGCAAAGCAATAAGCAATGCATAAAAGAAAGAAAAAAGATTAGTTAGTATCTACAAAACAAGAACAAGAAACAAAACAAAAAGAAAACATAAACTCTAAAATATCCCAAAGAACTACAACCTAACCCGCCCGAAGTGTTCAACAAACCAAAGCGACAAGCAAAAAAAAAAATTATACTTCCTTGAAATACTTCAAGAACCGGAATGAAAAGCTCAAAGACACCTCTGGAAAAAAAAAAAAAAAAAAAATAGGGTTAGTAAACGCGTTCAAAATCAAAATGACAAGCTACAGTTTATATTTTCCTGAAATCCCTAAGCTGAATATACAAGCCATATCCATAGCCGGTAGTAAACGCATTCAAAAGTCAAAAAGACAAAGTTTTGTATACACTTGAAATTCCTGAGACCAAAATGTCCATAAGGCATACCCAAGAATGGAATAAAAAGCTCCAACTACGCGACAAAGATCTAATAGCATAAACGGCAAAACAACACGGCCCCATGGCAACAACGTTGACTATAGCCTAAAAAAAAAAAAAAAAAAAAAGGTTAGTCAAACATACCGATGCGTTCAGCAAACCAAAGCAACAAGCAAAAAAAAAAAAAAAAACATTTCCTTGAAAACCTCCAAGAACCGGAACGAAAAGCTCAAAGACTTCTCTGGAAAAAAAAAGCTAGGAGTTAGTAAACGCGTTCAAAATCAAAATGACAAGCTACAGTTCATATTCTTTTGAAATCCCAAAACTGAATATACAAGCCACGCCCAAGGCCGGTAGTAAAAGTCAAAAGACAGTTTCCTACACACCTGAAATTCCTGAGACCAAAATATCCACAAGACACATGCCCAAGAATGGAATAGAAAGCTCCAACTATGCGACGAACATCTAACAGCATAAACGGCAAAAACAACACAGCCCAAATGTGATGAAATCCACATTCCAACAACACCATGACGGCGACTCACAGTAATTAACCCAACTACGGTGACGATGTTAATTATAGAAATAGCCAGGGCGGCCCCCCAAAGTACTGTCATATGATGATCGCCATAGCCGCAGCCGCAGCAAAATCATCTCCACCAATCAGATAACGCTATATATAAGCGATTTACGATACCCGATAATCAGTTTAACAGTTAAAGTTTTTTTTTGTTAGAAAATGAAGATATATGATATATAAAAAGACTCTTATGATTGATTTTTATTAACATTAACTACAAACCCCTTATATTGCTATACTGGCGAGGCTTTATAAGATGATATTTATTATTTGGTTCAAGTTATTTAATAATTTATTTTTTTTTGAATTTATAAAATATATTCTATTTTTTTCATTTAGTTCAGAAAATATATTACTTCTACGGCAGAAATATTAATAATTTGAGTCGATCACATAGAACCTCAAGCTTTAAAAGGTATAAAAGCTTCTAGTCACTCTACTTTATATGATCTTATCATGTATTTACTTACTCTTCCTCATTATCATTTATACAGTTCACGTCTTCATTGATTGCCACATTCTCTGCTTCTTCAGGATATGGTAAATACATAAGGTATGGCTTCTTGCTATTTTCTGGTTTCCAAGTTACTTGTCTATGTTTTCGTCATTCTACAGCTTGAATATCCTCTTCCATTTGCACTAGACGGCTCCATTTCATCATATTCCTAACATGTAGCCAATTATTGGCAGATTTCTCTGAACAAATCTGCTCAAATGCCTTTGTAAATAATTCCCAATTTGATTCAACATAATCACGAGCCTCTTCACTTGGATCTTCATCTATATTAATATTATAACTATCTAGTGGGCTATCGGCAGTGGCTTCAACGTTATGATCTTCATCAACTCGAGTGATAACTTGAACACCAGGTAATATAGGATTATTATTTTCAGGATCATTTAGAATAAGGAATGGAGGTGTTGTACGATGTTCAAATCCACCTCTGATTAAATGCCGTCTTTTTCCATTAGGTGTATTTGTAGTTGGCCTTACTAAATGTTTACAAAGCAGGAAATAGTTTTTAAAAAATGCTGGGCAGCTACAAACCCACTGAGTAATCTCAGTAAAATATGAACCCTCTGAACCTATTAATGGTAAAAAAACAGGTTTAATCATTTTTTTTTACTGATTTAAAACATGCGATGATTAAAAGTTTAAAAACGTTTGTCATCCTTACCTGAGCCTTCTATTCTTACATCAACACTTCGCTTTCTCTTACCACGTCTACTACCACATATCTCAGCCCGTTTTTCATCACTTGCACCAATGTAAATCCATTCCTTCTTGAAATCCTCCCACCAACTAGGTTCTACTGCACCAGTTAAAATTTGTGAAAATCGGTTTTTCTGTGCTGGCACCACTTCAGTGAGAAGTGTCCATAATAGAAGATCTAACCTAGGTTGGTTAAAATGATGTAAATAATGTCGCTTGATTACACTCCAATGTGCCTCTATTTTCATCGTAGTTTTACCTTAATTATATATTTAAATTATTTGTTAATAAAATAAAATATTAAAATATTATTTAATTAAATAACAGGATTAACTT